GTTGTGTGTGTGTGTGTGTGTGTGTGTGTGTGTGTGTGTGTGTGTGTGTGTGTGTGTGTGTGTGTGTGTGTGTGTGTGTGTGTGTGTGTGTGTGTGTTTGGCGATTAACCGCAAATCTTTTGATACAATTGATTCAATTGGATGTAGTACAACGCTGATATTGAACTGGTAAAGCTTTCTTTTTTGTGTAATGTAATTTGGCTTTAATAATGGCTTGACCAATTTTACTAATACTATCTTGATATTCTGATTTCCAGGATGGAAATGACATTTGTCTTCTCTCGACATCTTCGCATTTTTTTTCTCGTTTTGACTTGTACTTATGATTGTGTTTCAAGTTTGCATTATATATTGGATAAGGAAAACGACAATGTGACGGACAGTCGGCCTCTATGGTTATCTTTATTGGCATACGACATTGTTGCTGTTGACTCTTCGTATCGATGACCTTCAATGCCACGTCACGTTGTGTCATACGTACAGCTGCTAAAAAAAATCAAATTTTTTTCAAATGATGAAAACAATATTAATAATAACGCAAAAACATATATTAGCAAATATAATTTATTTCAAATATTTATAATATGTTTCAAATATTTTTACCATACCAGGATCACTATAATCTGCTTGATATGTCGTTTTCATATGATCAGCATTCACATGTGCAATTGTATTTGGAAGTGATTTCTTTAACACTCCAAACAAATCAAAATTATCTTCCTTAAGCTTGAAAAATTAAATATAGAATTTAATTTAAATATTTTTATCATACATTTTTATTTATATGTGTGCATGCGTGCGGTGCGTGCGTGCGTGCGTGCGTGCGTGCGTGGATATTCAATTTTTAATTATCTCTCATGTATACGAAACAAATTTATGAAGAAGTATAACGAAAGTATAATAAGCTATGTGTAAATGTAAATGCATATTAGCTACATACATTCGTAAAATGTCGATGTAAACCACTTATTCTAAAATTATAAACATATTTATATGTTCAAGGAAATTTTATAAATTTTTGCTCACACAAGGGGGTAGCTGATCGAATCGCGTTACATCTATCTTCGGAACTTCAATCCTGCGGTAAATCTTTGGCTCCCGGAATCGTTCCAGTCTCGTAGAGTCCATTTGAATCCAACTGGGACATTTCTCGAGCTTCCCATCTTGAAATTCTTTAAGTATCTGTCGCAAATTAACGCAACCGCATTCTTTACTAACAATTGCTTTTCTTGGAGGTTCAGTATAACATATAGATGAGACATAGGGCCAGGTATAATGCTTCCGATAGGTCGAAACGTAGTGATTTTTCTGATTCATGATTTAATTTCTGGACAACGAGAAATCTTGAATTTTACGAAAATGTCTTAAAAGTCTCAAGCCATCATTATTGCCATCATGCTTTTGCAGATCTTTTTGTAACTGTCACCGAACAAATACATCGTCGATATTAAATACATAGAAAGTTTTCCATTATCTCCATTTATCTGTTAATCTGACATCCACATTTTTTAGAGGTAATTTAGTATTTTAAAATTTCATTATAATTCCATCACATCAATTTCAAAAGTTTATGCGTTATTTGATGTCATAATAAATTTGAATTTTAGGATGTTTACATTTTTCCATGTTTACATTTTTCCATTGCAATTCTGCAATTTTAAATAAAATTTTTATGGTATTATTTAACTCTGATATAAATGTAGGTTCATATTGATATTGATAATTGATTATTGATTTGTCAAGGAAACGCTTTTCAAATTTTTACATTTTTAATTTATGGAAATTTACAATCTTCTGACGTTGTAGTCCCTCCTATCACTTCTATTTTCTGTATACAAATCGTTGTAATTATGTATGTACATACATAATTAATATGATTACGAATAATATTAATGTATTATGAATATTCTAATTAATAACGGATTGACCAATTTTATGTATTACGTGTACATTTATTATATTATTTTCAAAATTATTGAATTCATTTTAGTCTAAACTTCAAATTTTAATTTTTTTATGTAATTATTTCATAAAGAAAAATCTCCTATCTCAATCGATCATACATTTATCAAACATCACACATTATATACATAAATATTGACAATTATATTGAACTTAAAAATTGATTAAAGAGATTCATTGATTTGATCTTTATTTATACAAAATATTTTTCATATGTAAACAATGTAAAGCTATACATTTTTATTTCGCATTTATTTTATGATTTTGTTCTATGATTGTTTATAAATGAAATAAAGAAAAAAATGTAAATCAATAAAATAAGCAATACATTGATACCGAGTACATGTTAACAAACAACAGCAACAAGTAACATAACCGGTTTCTCGGCAAGCAGGATCTTGGTTGCTAAATTTTTGTATAAAATAAATTCAAATAATCATATCACCAACTACGTGCCACTTAGACATGAGCAAACTCTCAATGTAGTGATTCTATAATAATTCAATAATCAAATATTTTTTATATCGATTTAAATCCTTTTTATTATCCTCCTCCTGGGGAGAAAAATAAGCTTTAAGACATAGAGATCTTCTTACTTGAATAAATCTTAATGAAATTCGAACCATCTTTATGAATAAATTAAGTACATTATAAATTAGTGAACCAGTCTACTTCTTCGTAAATTTTCTATGTAATTTACAAATTTCTTTCAAATTCAATGATCTTTTAGCGAATTGAAACAAAATCGTTCTTTCTAAATTGGATTTTTAATTTGTTTGTTCGATAATAAAAGTTGCATGTAGTAATACTTGATTGATGCTAAATCTGAGATTGTATTTTACAAAATTAAAATTAAAAATGACAAGTCTGCGATTTGTAGAATGTATCTAAATTTGAATCGAAAATTCACTATAGGATATTATATTATCAGATATTTATCCCGATCTGGCTCAAAAAACGTTTACTCGCGTTTTAGACAAATTAATAATATAGCACAATGAGAAAAGTGGTAAGATTAAGATCTGTCATATTCGGAAAATATGGTGACTATGTGGCCGATTTAGTTAGTATAAATCAATTCCGCCTCGCCTTCTCTCGTTAACTGGCACATTTTCGGCCCTGAAGAAAGGAAAGCTCGGAAACCGTACTGATGATTACTCTAAAGATATCACTGCGTCCACGCTACCAAGAATAGAATCGTGTGACGTAGTCATCTGAACATCGACGAAACAAGACGCGACGAAGCCATGTCATGCACCGACGGACATTTATCTGCGGTATTTGGTATATGTATAATTGTATAAATTCTATACCCTCCCTCTCTCTCTCTCTCTCTCTCTCTTCTCCCTCCCCCCTCTATCTCTCTCCTCCTCCCCCTTTCTCTCCCTTCCTCCTTCCCTCCCTTCCTCTCTTCTTTCCATCCTCTTTCTCCTGCTCTCTCCCACATCCCCCTCCTACATTCTTCTTTCCTTTAATTCTTCCAAATTCTGTCTAATATAATAAAAATTGGCGTAAAGCTGATTAGATAAAACAAAATGATATACAGGACGTCCCAAAAAGGTCGGAACCCTTGAACATCTCGAAAAATATAAGTTTTATAGAAAAATGTTTCGAATAAAAATTGTAGTGTTTAACAAGATTTATTTAATAATCTTGTTTTTGCTATTGATGGCGTCGCCAAGATCAGATCACATCGATTTTTTTAATATGGAAACCCATTTTTGATTATACATTTTTGTAACTGACCTCGAGACCTCTTCAAAACTATGATAAAGTAATCTTTTTAATAAATACTTTCTAAAGTATGAGGCTTGAATATTGATATGCAATTAGATATAAAATTTGATGCAATTTGACACGAAATATAAAAGATCTCGTAAAATATTCATTTTTTGGCAACTATATCTTAATACTTTTATGCACAGAATAATGAGATGTGTCGATTGAATGAATAAAGAAAATACGTAGTTGTTTCTCAAATAAGATATTGCAAAGCATTATTGCAAATTTCCATTCTTTTTAGACAGCAATTATGTATTTTCTTTATCACATCAATTGAGTCATCTCATTTACAAAAATCGATGCGATCCTGACCCGGCACCACCAAGGTCAAATTAATAAGATGAATAATAAATAAACCTTTTTGAACTCTACAACTTTTATTTAAAACACTTTTCTGTACTTATAACTTATATTTTTCGAGATATTCAGAGATCCCGACCTTTTTGGGACGTCTTGTATAACTAATTACACGAAGACAAATTCAACATTCTATTAAACACAGAAAATACACAAATAATTTATTATACAAACTATTACATACTATTTGTTTGAAAGATAAAAATAAAAATAAGATAAAGATAAAAATTCGTATTAATCTGTACCGCTAAATAAGCTTAAATAGCTTAAATAAGCTTAAATAGCTTAATATTTCGTCGTTGCTTTGGTTCTGAAATACAGAGCTATCTGAATCCATTGTACAAATCTAATTTACATTTGACATGATCCGAAATGATCAATGGAGCGCAGATGAAGGAAAAACTTTTTATATTATCTCTCTTAACTTGTAGTTTACAATTAGCAGGGGGATGAACAGAAGTGTCAAGATTTCCATCATTTGTTTTTAGAAATTGTTTCTAATACAACTTTAATAAAAATTTGTGTATGAAGAATTGTTTTATCATATTGCATTATTTTGCAAAAACAAAACGCTTGAGTTCATGGCCACAACATGGCCGCAGACGCGTGGTAACGTGGTATCGCGCATCACGAGTATTGTGAAATAAAGGAACAATTGACTCAACTAAAAATAGACGACAAAAAAATGAAAAATGAAACAAAAGAGAAATACATGAGAAAATGCGTTGTGATCAAGATTTACATCATGCTTTATTTCATCATCCTTTTTTCCACTTTGGTTCAAAATATTCGTTTATTCGCGCAGAGAGACAAGGAAACTCAGATAGCGTCTTTGAGCCAAAAATGGGCAATATATACGTTTGCATCATAAATTTTGACTGGAAGCAAATTAGTGTTCACGCGATTTAGTGCGAGATAGTAATCGGCTCTGACCAAAAGCCGTTATAGTAATTTATAAGTATACACTCTTGTGTCTCGTCTCTTTCTTCTTTTCAGTATGTGGTGTTAATCATAAAATTCTTAGTATTTTTGAAAATTGAAACGAAACGAAGAAAGAAAAGCAAAAAGAATTTTTCGCAGTCGCTGTCGCAGAAAAGTTTAACGTATATTAGTAGAAACTTGAGCTTTAGCTCAATCCTAACTTTAAAAAATAAATATTTTTTGTATCTTTGTTAATTTTCCAGAGTTAATAAATTTTTCTAACTATAGAAATTTAATCGCTCTATAATACGTAATTATTATCGTTTGTTTTAATGATCATTTTTGCGATCTAACTTGCGATTGACTTCTAATATCACAAACTTGTTTAACGTTCGAGAGAGAGAGAGAGAGAGAGAGAGAGAGAGAGAGAGAGAGAGAGAGAGAGAGAGAGAGAGAGAGAGA